TTAGTTGGGCTTGATCAACCAGGTTATGGTTTTAATAAACGAATTGTTAATCATTAATTGAATCCGTAATTGTTCTTTTAATTGGTCTAAGTAGCGAATAATACACTTAATTTTGAGAGGAAAGTAAGTCTTGTACTATGAATCATGTTGGTACAATGTAAATTCTCTGAGCTTACGTGATGGTTCATTGTGTTTTTTTTTTACCGGAGATGGAGGAATTGTCCTCTCAGCTTCAGGAGTTGTTGGGCAAGCAATTTATTAGACCATGCAGTTCGCCGTGGGGAGCACTGATTTTATTCGTCAAGAAGAATGATGGGTCACACCGGATGTGCATTGATTAATGGGAGTTGAACAAGTTGATGGTGAAGAACCGTTACCCACTTCCGCAAATTAATGACCTATCTGATCAGTTGCAGGGTGCATCTTGGTTCTCCAAGATCGATTTGAGGTCAGTGTATCATCATATGAGGGTTAGAGATGAGGACGTGGAGAAAACCACGTTTCAGACTCGTTATGGTCATTATGAGTTCCTGGTGATGTCGTTTGGGCTCACCAATGCGCCTGTGGCATTCATGGATTCGATGAATCAAGTATGCAGGCTGATAGGGTTGTTCACTATTTGGATAAAACCGAATTATCCAATTGAACAATTTGGATTGGACTATTTGGTTCGGATATTCAGATTTTTGGATTGGTTTTCAACAAAACCAAAATATTATTTTGGATTTCGGATTGGTTTTGGTTTATAAAATAAGAACCGAATAGTCCAAAAAACCGAATAAAAATTTATTATTTATTTATTTATAATATATATCTATAGTTATTTATTAATTTTGTAATTTATTTTTTTCAAATAGGTTCAAAACGTTTCACCCGATAAAAAAACATTAATATGCATTTTCTCTAAAAAAAATTCTATCTATAAAATATTTAACTATAATATATCTTCTTAGTAGAAGTTTATAAATTTCAAATAACAACTAAATAATTTGTTTTTGCTTGTTGTGTGAAGTTCGGTAATATTATAATTATATGTGGTTTTAAAATGTCTCATTTTTGAAAACCGACTTATAAAAACCTATACAACCGAATTGTAATTGGATCGGATCGGATCGGATTTGAATTTAGTTTGGACTATTCGGATCCATGTTTTGAAAACCGAATCAATTTGGATTCACTTGATTGGATCGGATCAAACCGATCCATCCAAACGAACACCCCTACAGGCCAATGCTCAATCGATCAATCATTGTTTTCATTAATGATATTTTAGTGTATTCCAAAACCAAAGAACAGCATGAGGATCACCTTCGAGGGCTTCTGGGAGTTTTAAAATAGACTCAGGTGAAATAGATCCGTACCGGTTGAAAAATAACGAAGGATTTGAAATAGACTCGAGGGTCGACTAGACTCGTTTCGGTTGAAAAACACCAAAGGAGTTGAAATAGACTCAGGGGTGAAATAGACCCGGTTCAGCTTCAAACTGTTATGTATGTTTAGTATGGGTATTTTTAGGGAAGTTCACTAAGTTTTGTGCTTATGGTTTATGTTTAAAATGTTTTCAGATACATCTGGTTTTCAAAGGAAGAGTCGGCTTGATTGCACTGCATCCCCTGGAGATTTATTCTGCATTAACTGTTTATGATTTTACTCTGATGAATTGAGAATACTTTGACTCTGATCGTCTTTTGGAACAATGAATGAATAATTTGACTTATTTTAAACTGAAATTTTTACTCAGTATTTTTGGGACGTTACATCTTTATTCCATTAAGATCGAGTGATTATCTTCCATTTTTATACTGATGATGCATTTTTTGGGTGGGTGGGGTGGGGTGAGAGGGGGGGTATCAAATAAGAATAAACGAAGTATTATAAGTTTATAAATGTGTTTTTTTTTCTAGATTTAGGTTTAAAGATCAATCTATATATCTATTAAAATAGAGGTCAGTTTCCTTACACAAACTAATTAATCACTACAACTTAAAAGTTTTGAGACTTGTGTGTATATATGATTAGTTATATATACTTATGATTTCAACTTTAAAATAATTAATCATTACAAGTGAAGAGTTTTTTTTTTTTTTTTTTTTTTTTTTTTTTTTTTTTAACTTATGGTTGATAAGTGGTAATTATTATAATAAATTGGTTAATATATCTATTTTAATAGAGGTCAATTTCTTTGCACAATATTCATTTGAAACTGTCATATTGTAACTTTTGTCTATCACTTAGTATGTCACATAATATGATCCATAATTATAGACTTTTAAATTCCTAATTTTCATTTTAATAATTTTTCTTTTGGATTTTGTTTATATTGTTTGAAAATAATATGAAACCAAATTTATGGTTATTTTGTTCTATGTTATATGGGTTCTGATTTATTTATCTTAAGATACATTAAACACATAAATGTATCACGTGGAATCTCCTATATTCTTTTTACACCATATGAGATTTACAAAAAATCTACAATAATACGATATTCACATATACATTTGTATTATTAGCACTATGTTTTATTTTCAGTGTAATAACTAATAGATATTATTAAATATGTTGTTGATGTTGATTATATTAAGTGTTGAACATGTGATCATGTTTTTTGTTCGAGTTTTGTGATGAAAATATTATTATTGTTAGATAATATGCATTATGATAACCAGTTTATAATTAGTTTTATATTAAAGTTATATCCAAAATTCATAAGTTCATATATAATATAAAAACTTTTATCAAAATTCATAAGTTCATATATTATTGTTAGATAATATGCATTATGATAACCCGTTTATAATTGGTTGGGATTGGGGTTAGTCACGACGAAGTCAACCACGCACCTGCCTATATTGGTTACAACCCCTTAAAAACTATGTTTATTTACTTTGGTATTCCAATTAGATCAAATATGTCGCATGTTAATAGGGTGATCGAGAAATTCAAGAAAAAATTGTCTACTTGGAAAGTAAGAACTTTGTTGGTCACTGATTACCCTGTTGAAATCAATTATAAGTAGGGGTTGCTATATATTAATTGAGAATTTCTTTCACTCCTAAGATAGTCCTTACATGCCTTTGAATCCCTCAAAAATAACTTTGGCATTTTGGGTGAATGAAAGATAACTTTGATCAAATGAAAAAAAGAGTCATGACTAGCAACAATAATTGTGGGTCAGGAATCGGGAGTTTGTATGCATTTAACAAATCTCTCCTTCATAAATGGAAATGGCGTTTTTTAACAGTCAAAATATGCTTTGGACACGATTGATAAAAGTAGTTTTCAATGAGGATGACAAACTTTTCTTTACTCATATGATTGACCTTAGGTATGCGGCTTGGGTTGACATGACCAATAAACTTCAAGATAAGGGATTTGACCTTCATAGATTGTGTTCGTAAAAAAAGGATGGCAAGGATACTAGGTTTTAGGAGGAAGTTTGGCTAGCTGAAGTTCCTTTCAAACTAAAAATCCCTAGGGTGTACTCTCTTAACACAAACAAGGATGCTTTAGTTTCTAACCGTGTTCAATTTTTTGCATGGTCGAGATCTAAAAGGATGTTTGCAAATGTTCATTTTATCGAGTTAACTAGAACGACGACGAGAGTTAGAATAATCATTGATAAAGTGATTTTATTTTGGGGAGGGGCTGGAGTAATTAGGCATCGATTAAAAACATTTCATGTGGAAAATGATGTTAAATAAACTTCCGACGAAAGAAAACATGTGTAAGTATAGATGTAGACTCTTTACTATGTGAAAGTTGTGTTAATAGACCTGAGAATTTACAATATATGTTTTTTTGGTGTCGGGTCAAATTTGGATATTTTTCATTGGGGATCGAACATGTCCATTTCTTCTGATAAAAAAAACCGAAGTATCAACTATAAAGGTAATTGGGCAGTTTGGTTGCTAACCCAGACTTAATTGTTGGTTCTTTGTAATTCTTTTTGTCTAGATTTTTCTAATAAATTGCTGTTGTTGTTCAAAATTGAAGAACATCGGTCTCGTTTCGTTTTTATTAAAATCTAACAAAAAACTTATGTAAATTGAATTATATTTCGACACAAAGGCATAAAAAGTGTCATCTAATTAAAAAGTTACATTTCAATAAATATTACTGATTTATAGAACGAAAAAATATATTGCAGTGTTTTGTGTAAAATATAACAAACTGATTTATGCTAGCCAAACAAAATGACTCCCATTATTTGATAAATGCAAAAAAGTTGAGTTATTACTCTTATTTTTACGTTGTGTTTAACGCTACAACTAGCTAATAAGTGAGCTTATTTTTTGAGTTTTTTTTAAGTTGTTATGTTTGGCAAGCCAAAAAATAGCTTATAAGTTAGCTTTTAAAAATAAATTTAGATTAGCTTTTCAGAAGCTTTTTTAAAATTTTTACAAATATACCCCTTAATTAGTTATAGAAAACATATTCTTCTAAATGTCTTTTTAAGTCATTTTATATATTTCAGTTAACTTATAGGAAAATCTCCGATAAAGTATCAATATTTTGGGTAAGTTTACGGTTTAATCTCCACATTTATTTTTTGAACAGAAAAGTTCTGATTATATGATTATATAATTTTATACGATAATCTGTTGTTTTCTTTTGAAAAAAAATAAGTATTGTTTTGTTAATTTTGGCAAAATATAAAATAATCGATAATTTTCTGTTCAAAAAATAGAAGTTTGGATTAAATCGTAAGCTGACTTAAAGTATTAGGAATTTATGGAATATTTTCATAACTTATAACATTATTTTCTATGCTAAACATAAACTTTGAACCATGTCATTTTTTTTCTAATATCCCTGTTTACAAATATAGAATATATATTTCTTTTTAATTGAATAAAAACTCAATCATTAAACAACATTTTAATTTAAAAAACCGTTATCCTCCTATTGATTGCATCGGGTCGGGTAAGGTGAAGAAATGGATAACGTTATCATATTTTTTTCAAAACAAAGGAGCACCAGAAAAATTACATCAATAATCTTCAACCACCAAAATCTCACCCAAACCCGACAACATTCAATCCGCACCAAAACAAATTGTGTGTGCGCGGGAGACTTGGACTCCACTCTGTGTTATCTCTTTTAGAGAGAGAAAGCTAGAGAGAGAGAAATCGAGAGTAACAATGGCGATGGCTTTGGCTCTTCGTAGGCTTTCGTCTTCTGCAGACAAGCCCTTGCAGCGTCTCTTCAATGGCGGACATATCTATTCCATGGTCCGTTAATTTCTGTTCTAATTATCATTATCATTTTCGATTTCGATTTCGTCTTCTGTAAATTGTATTGATTTGAATTTTTGTGGTGTGGTTGTTATGATAGTCGTCTTTACCTAGCGAAGCTGTTTACGAGAAGGAAAGACCTGGCGTCACTGTGAGTTTCTGTTCATTCGTTTTATAATTTCTGTGTTTTGTCGTTGATTCTGTGTCTGAATTTAAGTTTTTTCATGGTGAAATTGCAGTGGCCAAAGCAATTGAATGCTCCACTTGAGGTCGTCGATCCTGAGATTGCAGATATTATTGAGCTTGAAAAAGCTCGTCAATGGAAGGTCATCTCTCTCTCTCTCTCTCTCTCTCTATATATATATATATATATATATATATATATATATATATATATATATATATATATATCTATTTTACTATTATTTTTCGATTGTGCAAAAGAATGTTTCCAATCTATCTTGTAGATTTCTGATTCAAATCGAGCTTTCCTCTCGATTTATCTGTAAATTTCTAATTTTAAACGGAGCTTTCATCTACAAAAATTTCAACTCTCTCTGTTTTAAATTTAAACAAAAGTTTGTTATTAATTGATAATCAGGAAAATAATATGAGTTCTAAGTTTCATTTTAAGTGACTGATTTTGTATATTGTTTGTAAAGGGTCTTGAACTCATCCCTTCAGAGAACTTCACTTCCTTATCAGTGATGCAAGCAGTTGGATCTGTGATGACTAATAAGTACAGTGAAGGCTATCCAGGTGCTAGATACTATGGTGGAAATGAGTAAGCAAACAACCATTTTTTCAATAATAAATTACAAGAATGGTCCCTGTGTTTTACACAAAATTGCAAGTTTGGTCCATTTTGTAAATCTTACCAATGTCATCCTTAACTTTGTCTTTTGTTTCCGTATTCATCCCTGACCCATGCAAAATGACCTTGTTACCCTTTAACTTTTTTATTACTTGTTTAATTATGTACACGATCATTAAATGAATCGAGTTTAGGCATCCTGTGTTACTTATTTATTCTTAAAATGCTTTAATTTTTTAATTTTATTTATTTATTTATTTTTGCTTGTTAGGTACATTGACATGGCAGAAACCTTGTGTCAAAAGCGAGCTTTGGAAGCCTTTCGGTTGGATCCTGCAAAATGGGGAGGTAGATACAATTTACACATTTCTTATACTAAAATTTGCTTCTTGATCCACAAATTATTGTTAATAACTAGTTTCAAATGTATTCAAAGAATGGGCTAAATGCAAGAAATAACAATATACTTCCATGTATTTGTTTAATAAAGCATCCGACTTCCTTTTTTTTTCTTATTAAGACATAAAAACTTTGAAAAATCTACCAAATTTTAGCATTTTACTTTCAATTTCTTTTACTTTGAAAAATCTACTCAATTCCAACAGTATTTGTATGACGATGCTATAACTGGGTAGATATTTCAAAGTACAATGTTGTAAATTGTAATAGGGAGAAATGAAAATAAAATGCTATAATAAACAAATAAACAAAACCACATAATGATAATAATATGATAATATTAATACCTTCACATAATATCTTTTTCTTTTTAATATTGCAGTGAATGTGCAATCTCTTTCGGGGTCACCATCTAATTTCCAAGTCTACACTGCCTTATTAAAGGCTCATGACAGAATCATGGCACTTGATCTACCTCATGGTGGACACCTGTCACATGGTTATCAGGTGCTAAAAAAATCCATTCATTTTTATATTAATTTATTATAATAATTAGTCTCACCCTGAGTAATTTGAATTCTATATTTATCTTATTTTTGCAGACTGATACAAAGAAGATATCTGCGGTGTCTATATTTTTCGAGACTATGCCTTACAGATTAAATGAGAGCACTGGCTATATTGATTATGACCAGGTACATGTAACTTTATATCATATTTTGCTCATATTTATTTTTGTCAGGATTAAATGCAAGAAATAGCAATGTACTTTTATTTATTTGTTTATTATAGCATCCAACTTTCATTTCAACTACAATGCAATTTTCACACGTATATTTGTGTAGATTTTTCAAAGTACAATTCCTTAAGAAAAAAAAATGAAATTACATTGGTGTAACAGAAAAAATGAAAGTAGGATGCTACAATAATCAGTTAAATTAAAGTACGTTGTTATTTCTTGAGTTTAACTTTTTTTTGTTTTCATGAGAAGATTTAACTGGTAATTTTCAAATTGCAGTTGGAGAAAAGTGCGACACTCTTCAGGCCAAAACTGATAGTTGCTGGAGCAAGTGCTTATGCTCGATTGTATGACTATGCTCGCATTCGCAAGGTGAGTTTAATAAATCATAATTGTAATATTAAATAACTTATGAGAATAAATTCGTTTTATATAATTAGATTTGCCTAAATATTTTAATGATTTTTTTTTTATGTTTTATAGGTTTGTGACAAGCAAAAGGCGATTTTGTTGGCGGATATGGCACACATTAGCGGGTTGGTTGCAGCCGGGGTCATTCCATCCCCGTTTGAATATGCTGATGTGGTGACCACCACCACCCACAAGTCACTCCGGGGCCCACGAGGTGCCATGATTTTCTTTAGAAAGGGTCTGAAAGAAGTCACCAAACAAGGCAAAGAGGTATGTCTGCCTTAATAATTTGTTAGAAAATGGCCTCAAAGATTCCCAACAATCAGTCCAATGAAAAATAGTAAATAAGAACACAAGAATTTACATGGATAACTTCAAAACTGGAGAAAAAACGACGGAGATGGAAAGAGAAGAAATTCACTGTATGATAAATTGTTACAATCACATAGACTAATCTCCCAAGTTAACCTAGTGTATGAAATATTATTACAATCACATAGACTAATCTCCCAAGTCCACCCAGTGTATAATAAATTGTTACAATCACATAGACTAATCTCCCAAGTCAACCCAGTGTATGATAAATTGTTACAATCACATATACTAATCTCTCAAGTCAACCCTGAATTACATGCACATTCTACAAAGATATATATATATATATATATATATATATATATATATATATTCTTATTTTGAAACAGATACTAACACTTTTTATTATGAAAGGTGTTTTATGATTATGAAGACAAAATCAACCAGGCTGTGTTTCCTGGACTTCAAGGAGGCCCACACAATCACACAATCACTGGTTTGGCAGTTGCACTGAAACAGGTTTGCTTCTTTCTACAAGTTACATTAAATCTTTGAGAATTTTCAATATGACCCAATTTAATAATTTCAAAAATATTTTTTTCCAAAAAAAAAAAACAATTTTTATGAATTCAGGCAACAACAGCAGAATACAAGGCATACCAAGAGCAAGTCATGACTAACTGCGCCAGGTTTGCACAGGTACAACTAAATGACTATTTTACCCTTAACTTTCAAATTACAAATGTCACAATATTCATCAATTTCAATCTTGATACTAAAAAATTTAATTTTTTATTTTCAGACTTTAATGGATAGCGGATATGAACTTGTATCCGGAGGAACAGAGAACCACTTAGTTTTGGTGAACTTGAAACCCAAGGGAATTGATGGGTCAAGAGTTGAAAAGGTATTGGAAGCTGTTCACATCGCAGCCAATAAAAACACTGTTCCTGGTGACGTGTCAGCCATGGTTCCTGGTGGCATCAGAATGGGTGAGGGGTATTTCAGTAAATTCATGTTATATTATAGTACGCAACACAAAAGATTCACTACTTGTTAATTTTTAGGAACCCCTGCTCTCACTTCTAGGGGATTTGTTGAAGAGGATTTCGCTAAAGTTGCCTACTTCTTTGACCTTGCTGTAAAATTGGCTCTCAAGATCAAGGGTGAAGCCCAAGGTACACTTTTCATACCTCTCTATATAATAACAGTATATAATAATATAATAACAGAACAAGTTGTACTGTGTTTGGAATGCATGGAGTGGCCTGTTTAGGGTTTGTAACACATGACATGACAGGTCAAGACAAGTTGTATTGTGTTTGGGGTATAGTGGACATGACATGACAGAACAAGTTGGACTGTAGTGATGTTAGGAGGGCAAAATTGTAATTATGGTGATGTTGTGAATTATGTTTTTTATTTTATTTTTTGGGAATAAGGGACAAAATTGAAGGACTTTGTGGCGGCAATGGAGTCGAGCACCTTTCAGTCAGAACTTTCAAAGCTCCGCCATGATGTGGAGGAGTATGCCAAACAATTCCCAACAATTGGATTTGAGAAGGAAACCATGAAATACAAAAACTAAGGAGCTATACAAGCCAGGTAAAAGATGTTTAAACATAAATGTATTAATATTTATACATGACTAAATGAGGAAAAAAAAGAGCTCCTAAATTTATTAAATAAATATACATATTGATTTTTTTTTAAAAATTTATAAGAATAGTTAACATGTGATTCATGGAACAGGCAGAAATTGAGATGATGATTTTGGCCTGAATTAAGTCGATGATTTCATGGAGCCATATATGAAGAATGTGAATGTAAGGCTACAAGTGAATCTTATGTAATATGTAAATGAAAGATGTTTTTTATAAACCAATAAAACTTTCTATTTGGCTCACTCTTTTAACAGTTTTGTTCTATGAATATTACTTATGTTACTTACGAAATGTCACTCATAATTAAGAAGAATTAACTTTTTAAGTTGCTATAAATTTTACTTTTTCAATTTTGTATATCTGAAAAGTTAAAAAAAAATAAATTACTTTTTCGGATGAAACCTATTTCATATATTGTTTTACATGGAGGATGAGGGGTGTTGATTCACTCATTAGAAGAATAAATATATTTTTTTTCTTGTTAAGAAATTTTGTAAATAATTTGGCACAAATCCACTCTTATATTAGAAAAAAACAAATGAGTTAGGTTGTGTTTGATATACGGACCGAGTCTAATTAGACATTTTTGGCTTGACTCGGTCTCTTAAAGTTGTTTGGTAAACCAATTGCAAAATCTGACTAGGTAAGAAAACGGGAATGGCTTATTGAGAAAGGGAGAAGCTTCTTCCAATTGTGCCTTTGCCTGTCGCTTTTCATAGCCCCGATTCTTCTCCCAAGACCAACAACCACCGTCGACGCCTTCTGCCTCTTCCTCTTCCTAAATTCAAACCATCTGCATTGCAATTCTATATACTAAAGAAAATCGAATCAAAAGGGAACTTTCTAGTTACAGAGAATTGAACAGCGGAGATTTTATCAATTGGGTAATCAAGGAGTAAAACTATTCAAATTGAAATTAAGGATTCCGAAGAATCAAAAGGGAACTTTCTAGGGTTCTTTCTGATTAAAGATATTAGGGAAAACCGTTGCTTGATTGTAGTTTGTAGAACCCTCCCAGTTTAGAAGGTGTTTGGATAAATTAACTTATTGCGGTGGGAATAAGCAGTTTTTGCAAAAGTGTTTGTGGTGGGAATAAACAATAAACAATAAGCAATGGGTGTGGGGGGGGGATGCTTATTAAAATCAACTTATTTTACTTATTCCTACCATAATAAGCTGATTTTTAAGGATTCATATCCAAACACTTAAACTTAGCTTATTGTAGTGAGAATAAACAATAAGCACCTTCTTTTTTCCCAATCCAAAAACCCTCTTAATTTTGAAAAGCAAAATCATGAAACCATAAATGCAAGTGAAGACGTAATCAAGACGATTGATTTTCATTTGATTTAGGATTTGAAAGACATGTATATCAACGATGCACGTGCAATTCATTACATGGACTTTTATAAAAACGCCTTCCCATTTGCCATCTTATTTATATTATATTTTCTTTAACAAACAAGATTACATTTCTAATTCAAAAGACATAACCATATATCACCAAACAATGTACTTTAATTGTATATGTTTGGAATATTCATTTTTTAGAAATTGAAACTTTTTTTTTTTGTATAATTAAAGTTAGAAATTTATTATAGTAAAAAGGTTTGTTGGGTTTTTGAAAGAATCACCTTGAAATAAAAGTATGCTTTTTGTATTCGAGTTAATATCTTTGTTACTTTATGGATTAAATGATTTGTGTGCAATTTATATTTTGTACGTTTTTATAGTTATTCAGCAACTTCATCCATTATAGTATGGTAAAATGATCATTTTTCATTGGTCAGAACAGCAGGATAAAATGATCATTTTTCATCAGTCAGCATATTCAGTTAGATATAGAACCAAACAACATGGTTTCTTACTCAGTCAAACGTTACTACCTAGACAGACTTTTCCCAGTCAGCACTATCAAACAGAACCTTAGTGTATGTGTATCAAATGACTTATGTCTAACAGTATTCAACGGTACATGTTAGCCCAAGTGATTGACGGTTCAAGTCTTGTTTAAATGTAATTTAAAAGTAATTATATAGTGCAACAAGGAGTATCCTCAGAGGGCGCCTTCCATTCCGTGACAAACCCAACGACACCAAGCAACAAGGAGTATGCTTAGAGCATTACTACCAGAACCAATCGCTAGCTCTAGCAATACGAGAAGTACGATTAACCAATCAAGGCATTGGTTCCTGTCGGACCTGGCGACCTTGTCCCTGTACGGACTGTACGGACTGGCAAGGAAGTCTCAGTATAAAAGCCTCATCCGCCACCTCAAACGGTAAGCTGTTCCCACCTAGCCCTCACTATACACTCTCAGTGACTTGACCGTCAGAACGTTTTCCCGGGAGCTCTTCCCGGAGAACGGCTGACGGTTTCCTGTTGTGACCTCGCAGGTCTTCCCGGAGCAATCATTGCCATCTCGTCGTGACCAGAGCCACCATCCGAGACGGTCCGAAGACCAAGGTCGCATCACACAAAAATCAGGAAAAAAGATTATGGTGGATTGTAGATCCTTGCTCAGCATACTAACGGATAAAAGACTGTAAGTCAATTTGGAAATGTGCAAAACCCTTTTTATTTTAGTTACTTCTACAAGGAACATTCTCCTTTTCTTTCAATCCGTATCATATCGCTATTGGGAATGACAACCGGTGTTTCAAAATGATTGCTAGTTTTATTTTAAAGAATATTAGCATCATGGATGATGTGCTCGGTAGATCTCGAGTCAATAACCCAACAATAACTTGTGATGTGAATGATTACACGAATGATCCATATCATCATTTTGACCTCTTATAAATATACCACAAGTTAAAACTCATCAACCAAATAATTATTGTAATGAGGTTTATCTTTTGATATGGATGATATGGATTACCCATGTGATCATCAAATACTGTCACATCAATAAAATTAACCGATTAATAGGCTTTTACAAAAAGTTTGAATAAAATACATAGTGTTTTTTTTTCCTGAAAAAGAAATATGAGCTTTTTATTTTATTTATTTATTTTTAATATAGTTGACAATCGATATACTTTTATGTCTCCTCCCTTCACGTAGTAGTACTGTAGTATATGAAACGTGAGGGACTTTGTTAGACTTTCCTGAAGTTAGAGGGGCTTTCTTGAAATATATTTATTTCCCCTTTTGACGAGCACTGACCTGAAAAATCACAATCATGTTTGGCTTCGAATCCTTCGCTTAACTCACACAACACACAACAAGAAGAAATCATCATCACCGATTTACCGATTCATCTAAACAGCAGTTGAATCAAGCAATCGGAATCAATCGACAAAGAAATGGCTCGAGCTGGAGGAATAACGAATGCAGTCAACGTAGGGATAGCAGTACAAGCTGATTGGGAGAATCGAGAATTCATTTCCCACATCTCCCTCAACGTTCGTCAACTCTTCGATTTCCTTGTTCAATTCGGTAAATCCTCACTTGATCTCGATGATTTCGGTTTTCATTGACTTAATTGGAGTTCGTTGTATACTCGTAATTGTGATCTACTGATCTATTAGACGAATTTCCATCGAACGATTGGGCTGCGGAGGTTCCTTGTTTCGTTTGGATTTGTGTTGCTGATATCTCCAAAATTTCACTTGCCAATTGAATGGAGAGATACACATGGAACATCCACTAAAATTTTGGTGCTTTTTTTCTGTAAATTGTGTAGATTAAATCTAATTGCTCTTGTGTATTAATGGAATACATTTTTCGCTTTCAGAGGCTACAACAAAGAGCAAATTGGCATCTCTGAATGAGAAACTTGATACACTAGAGCGTCGTCTAGAAATGCTTGAAGTACAAGTGAGTACTGCTACAGCCAATCCAAATTTATTCAAGACTTGATTCACTCGACTATGGCATCGTAGATAAAAAAAAGCAAAAACAAAGGGCTACATCAGAATGTGAGGTGATTAAGCTTGTTCAAAATCCAGTATGATACGTATGAAGTTTTTTTTGCCTATTTTTCCATATATTTATTCATGTAGCTGATCTGTGCATTTTGTAATTGGAAGAGTTCCCTTCTCTTTGTTTTCATATCACTTTTTATCTCAATGAAGATTTGAATGCAGTTTGTTGTGCCTTCCTTATGCATCACATTAACTTCAGTCTTGCTCATGCATATCTGATATAGATCATTGATTGATTTTATTGGTTTATTGAAGATTATAGAACAAATGACTTTCTATGATATAATGGCTGTGATAGTTGCAAGATATAACTGTATAAGAATCTCCAGGTCTTATTTTCCTTGTAAAAGTTGTTAATCACTTATATGCCCCTATTTATTTGCAAAACCTTTCATTTGTAATGATAAATGGCAAACAAGTTTCAGTGACTAGAATAATGAATTCTGATCATGGCTTCTTGTTTGTGATAAATTAACGTTGTGGTGAGTTTATATGCTGCAAGAGGTGCATAGATTATATATGTATGAATACACTTTCATGTCTCAAAAAACATTTTGGGCAAAGAAGAAATATATAAACTTCTGAAATCTAATTCTTTAATATGGCATGAGTTCTAGACTCTAGAGGTCACTTAAACTCTGGTAAGTAGTCCTTATTAAGGTATGTTGATTTTAAATCAATACTTTTATTGCTTTCAAGCACACAGAGATCACTTTAGTAAAGTTAGGGCTGTTTGATAAAACCAAACCATTTAGTGCTGAATGATTCCAACCTCTTAATGGTTAAGAGAATGTAGGGTTTTCAACCATTCAGAGGCTGTATGAATGCCGATCAATTCAGAGGCGACCTCTTAATCATTCCATTTAGAGGTTATCAAATAGCGCCTTAGATCCAATATGAATAACAAGATGGAAATATAGGAAAACAATAATTGATGTACCGTTGTATTTATATATACATTAAATATGTTAACCTTCTTATCTGATATTATTAACGATAGTGAAGTGAGATATTGTTTGCCATGATCGTAACAAACGCTTACAAGGGATAGAACTGATAGTAAAAAAAAGGGAATAAATAAATAGATAGATACCTAAATGCACATAAAAATAAATTAAGTGACAAGAAATCTATACTACTCCACTGCCTCGTTTTATGTCTCCACTCCCTCCTATATGAGTATCCTCAGAAAGAGCCAACTCTTTCATGTCTAATCTTACAATGTCTTCCCACTTCCTCCTCGGTTGTCACCCGAGGTTGGTAGTTGCCTCCTCTAAACATGTCCAAAGCACCGATCACCCTTCCATCAAGTTTTCGGTGATTGACACAGCTCCCAATTCAAATCTCACTCAAATCTATGATACAACATTCGGTATATCGCTCAACATTGTCTTATCACATGTCCACCAAAGCATCCTCATTTCCACAACTTTTATCTCCTTCTTTAATGGCCAACATTGATATCAATATATCTTAGTTGCCTAATTGCCACCGTGTAGAAACTTCCGTTTAGTTTAAAAGAGACCTTGTAGTTGTCTCCCTTCACCTTAACTATCTCACCTTTATGCGGTGAATAACACAATCCTTAACCAACTTATTTGGGTGAGTACTTACCAGTTAGTCCCCAAAGTAAGACTTCTACTCCCTCAACCTTGTGCTCCCCATTGAAATTGCACCAAAAGCGTTCCATCTTAAATGTACCAATGTATACCCCCCCCCCCCTTTTTTTTTTCTTTCTCGACGTTGTCATTGTCTCAAACACAATGTCATGGGTAAAAGCATACACTGTGGCACCTCTCTCTGAATGCCATGAGAAATCTCAACCAATATCAAAGCGAAAATGTATGTTCCAAGTGTTGAACTTTTATGCAACTGCAACCCCTCCTTGAATCCCACGTCTAATATGGGGATGTGAGTCACAATGTCCCGTAGAAAAACATATACTTCAACCTAAGACTCACTTATGGATTCTTACCTTCTTACCGCTAGGGCAAGCATGCAAAGACCATTTGAAGAATATTGTATGCAGGTTTTATCGACTTCTTTTATTCATCTATTTTATGTTCTTGTGGTGTCTGGTGCTTTTAACCTTAATCTATTCATCATACTTATTTGGCCTTATTTCAACTACGTTGTTATTATATTCTTGTTCTTCTCTTGTTTGAGTTCCATATACTGTCCTCTTATCGAGCAAATATTCACTTTGTTGATTCTCCTATTTCAATCTGTCTTTCTGTATCATATTCCAAACATTACTAAATATTGTGAAAACAAAAGCGTATGTCGTTTTTTCAAGATTTAAGATTTGGGAGGTAGAACTTGGAATATTAGCATCTAATTGAGCTTTTTTTTTTTCTTTTGGAAATGTTTCTTTGATTCCCGATTAAACATTTGTTACTCATGACTTACCGATGCTTTGTCCTTTCTATAATAACTTACCTATTTTAATGTTTTCTTTGGAGTTATGGTGTACACATTATGATGAATAGACAACATATGGTTGAATAATCATTGACAAAAACCTAAATATTCTGAAAATACCCTCTCCATATACCTTACTACTAGTGCAATAGTTGAAATTAATGGATTACACATTCATGAACTTATACCACTATGCTAAACTCCGACTTTTTCTTCGATAAAATCTACAAGATTGGAATCAACTGATATTAAGTAGTTGTAGAAACAAAATCAAGAAATTACACATATTTACTTAACATTATTCTTCCACAAACCCTTAAGCTGGCCCACATCACCTTGTTTTTAGACCATCATGTGAGATGTAAATCAGGTACACAGTGACCTGATCTCCACAATGAGTCCAATCCACATTAGAATTGAAACTCCCACACTGCAACTGCTCAGACTCCCGCATATTTACTTAATATTATTTATCTTGGTTGTGGAGGGGTAGGTTGTGATTGGAGAGATGATAGTTCCGATGGAGTTGGAGTGGGTAAGGGTAAGGGTAAAATAGTAATTGGTCTCTCGATAGAGAACCGATTGGACCCTCCAAAGCTATCTAACGATCTCATATATTCGGATGCATTGTTTTCAATTATCAAAGCATCTTCAAGCTCACGAACAATGTCAATCATGGAAGGTCTATAAGCTGAGAAGGGCTCGATACATGCTAATGCTACTTCCACAACTCGCCACATGGCTTCCGTGTGGTATCCTCCTTTTATGCTTGGATCCACTATTTCCTCAATTCTTGAATTCCTTATATACGGTTTTGCCTACATAGAATTTTGTAAATCAATCTGATTAAACGCAAGAAATAGCAATGTATATACTTTTGTTTTTTTGTGTTACAACATTGTATTTTGAAAAATCTAGCAATGTTATCCAAATTCAAAGCAATTTTAATTACTAGGTAGAAGTTTTAAAGTGCAACAATTTTAAAAAGAATGAATAACTGTTTAAAATTTTCTTAATAAAAAAAATTAAAAAGAAATTCAAGCATACCCATTCTACCAAGCTCCACTCATTTCTTGGCCTGTGGATATTAAGTGGTTCACGACCAGTTATCATTTCAAGCAACACAACTCCATAGCTAAAAACATCACTCTTTGCAGACAAATGTTGCGTTGAATAATACCTTAAATTACACACAAAAAAAAAAAAAACATCATGAGTTTTGTGATTTAAAAAAAAATGAAAAAACTTGTACTTACTCTGGATCCAAGTATCCAGCTGTCCCCCTTACTTCAAGGGAAGCACCACTATCACCTTCTTGAGGGGCATATTTGGAAAATCCAAAATCGGCAACTTTAGGACACATACTATCATCCAAAAGAATGTTACTTGATTTCACGTCCCTATGTATGACACAACGCCCCGAAAATGTATGAAGATATGTCAAACCTGGAGGGTAAAACTGTCCTTTTAGTATTATTATAATTATTATAATATTTTGCTTACAAGTAAATAAATATATAGAATTACCTCGAGCAGATCCTAAAGCTATTGAGAGTCTTGTTGGCCAGTCTAGAGCTCTCCTTTTTGACGCATCACCTATGAAGATACAATGAAGCAAGGGTAAAAATGGTATTAAAATAATGAAAAGAGTAAATTACAAAATCGTCCCTGTGGTCTGTCCAAAATTATGGATCGATTTTTTTAAAACCTTTCTGGTCTTGAAAACATCACTTGCCACCCTTTTGTCCCTTATGCTGACGATGTCCATTTTCTTATAGTTAAGACTTTCCATATTGAAACATGTGAGGGCATTTTCGTCTTTTTAGGTAGATGAGGTGTACATTACCGATTCACCATTGTTGCAAATATGTCAAAATTAGGGTTTTGAAGTTGTACTCGAGAGAAGATGATGAAGAAAAAGGGAGTGCGTTTGAAAAAGAAAAGGAGTGATTAACCGATTTTTACTCTTTTACGGATTATTTATGAAATACAATGATGATTGATTAAAGGCTTACCAAAAAGACATAAATGCCCTCATGTGTTTTGCACATGGCGGGGCTTAACCGAAGAAAATGGATGTGTTTGCATAAGGAATGAAAAGGATGACAATTGTCAATTGATACTTCCCGGGACTAGAAAGGTTAAAAAAAGTCGGCAAGGGACCAAACCTATAATTTTGGATATACTGCAGGGATGATTTCTGTAATTTACTCTAATAAAAATAAAATGAAAATAACTTAACACATACCATAAAGCCGATCTTGTAGGGACCCATTTGACATAAATGGGTAAACAAGAATTTGTTGATCATTTTCACAACAATAGCCAAGAAGAGGGACCAAATTTTCATGTCGAATGGCCGATAGAAGTGTTAGCTGTAGATGAAATTGTCAATAGATTTATTTAGTCAACAATATGATAACAATAAAATATAAACAATTTGAACTTATGAATAATAATAAGAATTATGAAGCAAAATTTGATATGAAATTATAGTGGAGATTTTTTTAGGGCTAATCATCAAAATGGGAAGTTCATATCACAAAAAGATCACCTTTTGACAAGTGGGACCAAATTCGTTAAAAAAATAAAACATAGGCCAAAATAAAAATTGGGTAACATAACCTACTGTAGCATGTCTTAGTGACCAATTTGGAACAACTTACATATTGGGTTACCTCTCTCTATAATA